AAAGAGTGTTGCTTATTTCTCTTCAAAGATATCAATAACCAAAACTAATGTAGACCAAATGGATCTAAAACATGTTTTACCCTATAAAACAAGCATATGGTGGATCATTTATTCACCTCTTGAACTGCTGATCTAATGGCAAGTGATTGAGACTTGTTGATGTGGAGCAATTCATGGCCATAAGGTCCGGCACAAGCACATCCACCTCGAGCTTGGATCCCAAAGAGGTCATTGAGCAACGTTGCAACAAAAGGGCCATGAAGTGGCTTACCTCTTTGGTTCCCCGTTTCTGCCCACAAATCAAGTTCCCCTTCATTTTCCTGGTTACCATCACTCCACTCACTAGCTAATGAGGAAGAATTGGTGGTAGAGTATATCAGAAATGATAATATAGCTTGTCTCTTGGCCTTCAAGTTTCCTAGAACCTCAATGTTCGGGTTTGAGCTAAGCTTGTCAAGTGCCTTGTTAATGTACATTTGTTCTCGTTTTTCAATCACTTCACATGTTATGTACTCTTTCACCCAAAATGCCAATGCTGCTCTCACCGTCTGGATTATTGGAGGCGTGCCCCCAGTTTCCCTTTCCTCTATGTTCTCCAAGTATAATGTATCCTGAATTGATAACACAGTTGATGATGATGATCAATGAAGTTTAAATGACTGTAAGGTGAAGGGGAAGAAGATGTTAAAATGCTTTGCAAAATGAATATTGACATAAGACATTGACATTATAGTGGCGATTTACCTGTTCATTGAAGCCATTGACATAGGTCACAGTTCCACCTCCACAAGTGGAGGGTGGTGAAGATCCTAGCAGGTACAGGGCCTTGTTCATGAGGAGCACCCCAGGAGAGTCAGGACCACCAAGAAACTTATGTGGACTTAGGAACACACCATCATAACCATCACTCTTCCCCGACCTCATGTCAATCTCCACGTAAGGACCACTAAACAAACAAAATAAACAGTACTAACTTTTTAATGGTGATGCAATAATAGTGTAAAGTAGTTTTATACCTTCAATCAATTGGATATCATTATTTTGTATAACTTTTTACTTATTTATTATAAAAATCAACATCTTAAAGTAAATAGTAATCGTGATTGAATTACGGTGTAAATAAATACCTGGCTGCGAAATCAAAGCATGCAAAGGCTTTGTACTTATGAAGAAGCTGAGCAACTGCACGTGTATCTAAGTGGATCCCAGTGACATTGCTACAAGCTGAGAAAGATCCCAACATAGGTCGCTTGGTATCTTTGTAGCTCTCAAGTTGTAGCCTTAGAGCATTCATGTCAAGCAACCCTTTATCATCAAGACCAATCTCTACCACCTCAGCCAAACTTTGCCTCCAAGAAAGGAGGTTTGAGTGGTGTTCATGGGGTCCAACAAAAACCACCCATCTTTCTTCTGTGCCAAGGTTCTGCAAAACCCTTTCCCTCAAAATAGAGGGCACAGCGATTCCCATCACTTCTTGCAGCCTCTTGATGGCTGCAGTTGTGCCTGAACCACATAATATGAGTGCATCATCTTTCCCACCACCTAAACATTTTGTTATGTACTCATTTGCTTCGTGTACCATTTTTGTTGTCCTGCTTCCCACGTAACTGTCGCACGTATGCGTGTTACCTATACACATAATAACATACTCAGAGACATGTTCTCACATTTAAAAGTCTAGTTTCTTCTATAACTTTAAATCTGGAAGATTAAGCTGACCAACGTACTTACTTTCTATATATACATAAGAAGAAGAAAAAATACCAATATATTATAACAAGAGTACGTTTAATTTCTATATCAGTGTAAAAGTCAACAAACTCGCTTTATATGATAGTTTGTGGTCGGAGACACGTGTAAAACTATTTTACACGGTTAACAAATCCTGGTAAATATGAAGTTTAGACAAACGTATCATACATGATTGATAGTTAACGATTGGATGAGAAAATAAGTGCATGCAGAACTATTCAGAGCCTATAGTATGTACATATTAAGGGTGGGTTGATCCGTTGATCATGTAATGATGTGAATAACATACCATAGAAAGGAAGAAGGTGATTGATGATGAAGTTTTCGATGTAGTGAAGGCTGCGGCCTGAAGCTGTGTGATCAGCATAGACAGCTTTACGTTTTCCAAATGGAGAATCGAACTCTGCATCGTTGCCTATGATTTGGGACCGTAACCAACAAAGCTTTTCCTCCACTGATTCATTACAGGGCAGGCCCATCTCTACGAGGTTCTTGAAGGACTCGGAGTGGTTGCAAAAGTCATGAGATGTTTGTGATGTGCTTGGTTTGGATAACACTCCGACCTCGTTGTTGGTTTTGCCTTGGCTTTGATCCATGCATGGTTGGGCTAATATGAAGGGTTGTTCTAGCTCCATTAGCGACAAGTGAATAGAATGACGTACGATGTTGTTAATGTAAAGAAGTATATAAGAAAAGGTGGAAGTAGAAGGCTTTAAGAGAAGGCAAAAATATTTTGGTACGAGTTAATAATAGTTTCAGTGGGACTCATATTATGGGCTGCACAAACCAGGTGGTGCCTTTTTATTGTGGATGGTGTATTCAGCTTGCTCTGCCTCTAGACAACAGGTGCATAACATTGTATTTGAACTTTCAATATTACTTTACCATTATAATAATATGTTAATTAAATTCCTTTTTCTTTCTGTTGACTACCCGTGCATGGTAATGGCAATGGTATAATACTTTTTCTTCAACCAGCTTATGTTAGTTGTATATTACCTGAACTTAGGGTTTGGGGAGTGGTGTTTCATATTTAGTATGCCTGACTAATATTTTAACTCCTTATATTTAACTAAAATTTATAATATATATATATATAGATAATTTATGATAAAACTACTAAAATAATGCTAAATGATATTCTAAATAGTTTGCTCAATTGTATCTAAATTTCAGCAACCTTTTTTATTTTTGAAAAAACAATGTTAACGACTTTATATAATAAAATAAATATATAATTGTTAAAAAATACTTAACTAATCTTTATTTGTCTATATAATTTATTATATATTATATATAATAAATATTTTGTCTATAAAATATACAAGTTAAAATATTAGTAATTATAATAAATAAAAATTGAATTAGATAAAAAAAATTAAAAATTAAAAATCCTTTGATCAAAGAAATTTTTTAAAAAATACTTTTATTTAAAAAAACATGTGTTTAATATATAAGATTTTATATACACTTTTTTTTTTTGCAAAAAGAGAATTATTGTTTAATGCAATAGTAATTAGTATTTTATTAGTTACATAAAGTTAAATTGCTTATTGATAATTGACTTATCTTTTAACTAAAATGAAAGCAATTTCAAATGGTGTAAGCAGAGAAGCTGTGCCCACAAGTTTAATATTTTAATTTGACAGAATAGACAACTGGACCCACAGATAAGCTAAGAATGTGGGTTAAAAAAATAATTAAATGAAGTATTGAAGTAGGAATAATCCTCATTTATGTTTGCTTCTTTTCTTAATTCACACTCTATTCATTTGCCTTTGGGATACAATACAACGTGCATCTCGGCTATACATTTCTACATACTATATTTTAGCAATCAGGCCCAGGGATTTTTTTTTGTCCTATATAAATAATAACGTAATATTTCAAAAATAATAATTATGAACTCATCTGTGTTTGCGGCACATGATATCCCTAGACAGGGTATTATTTTATTTTATTAGGAACAGGGATCTGATTGGTGACTACAATTTCTTACATTTGTTTTATATATTATGATATTTTATTTTGAATTTCAGATAATAAAAAAATATTAAATTATATTTTTAGTTTCTCTATTTTTTTAATCTATAATTTTGATCCATCTATTTTAAAATAAAGACATTTAATTTTTTTATATATTAAAAAATAAAATTTCAATTATATCATTAATGTGATATTTATTAATTGTTAAATTTTAATATTATCTAATAATTTATTATCATTTAAGTCATATAAAAATAAAAATTTAAAAATAATATATTTTTTATATTTATTTAGTGAATA